TATATATATATATATATATATATATATATATTAATATTGTAAACATTATTTTTCAGAAAAAGTATTTAGCTTTTTAAGTCAAGACGAAGTTGAAAAGATGAAACAAGAAGAAGGTAATTCGATATTGTGTATAAAATAATTTTGTTCATTTAATAATATTTTTTTTGTAATTGTTATTCGCTATATTCTTTACTTGCAGAAAAGAAAATTGCAACATTAACAAGAGATGAATTAAAATCATGGGCCCAATTGGATGAAAATGAAGGTCTTGAAGATTTGGAAGATTCGATAGAACAGGATAACAGGCGTCCTAAGTAAGCCATATATAAATGTATCCATTCTTCGCATCTTCACGTTACGTTTTCATCTATTCTTGTCCTGTGTATGAAACATTTAACATTGAAAAAAAAAACAGAATTTTTATTATTTATCATTATCATTTTTTCATTCAAACTTACATACAGTATCTGTCAGATTTTTATTCCAGTGTATAGACTTTGCACTTTTTAGCACTTATGGTTAGAGTAAAAACGTAGTATATATATATATCTGCTTATTTTTTAAGAATTACATACACTTCTAAAGTATATGAAAGCACATTGCACGCATATACACGCATATAATGCACCATTTTTAAGATACTTACTTCATACTTGATTTATTACGCTTGTATATAAAAATCCAAAGTATTATTACTATTATTATTATTACTACTATAATTGTTAGTATTATTATTATTACTATTACTATTATTACTATTATTATTATTATTATTATTATTAATTAAGATTACTATTAGTATAAGTATTATTATTAGTATTATTATTAGTATTATTATTATAACACGCACTCATATTTGTCATAGAAAAATGTACACTGTAATATTTCATTTATTTTATAAGCATTGAAAATTAGATAGCTAGCTAAATATATTCTTAAATGATGCAAGGTTGTAGGAATTTCCGAAAATTAATTTTTATACAGTTATACATTTTTTTTTTGTATACATTATAAAAAAAATTCTTCTTTTATAATAGGAAAAGTAACAATAATAACACAGATAATATAGGATTACACAAACAATTAATTTATCTTATGATAAATGTATAATCATTTTATATTACATTTAAGAATATCATTTATTTTACATAAAAAACATAAAAATATATGATTAATCTTAACTTTTGTACATGTTCGTAAACTTGAAATGCTTAAATTGTTGCATGCTTTAAACAAAATAATTACGGTCGTATTTCTACTATGTAATGCTTCTTAAATAATAAGGCATTTATATTGGCTTATAAGCTTAGAAATTACTATAGGAAAATAGTATATCTTAGCAAAATAAATATTGCTTACACTCTCACTGAAGCACTTAGTGAAATTCAAATTATAATGCATATGTCATCACTAAAGTATAATAGTAGAGGGCAGATGGGTTTACAAAATTGGAAGTATGCCTTAGGAGGGAGTTTATGTTGTGCAATAAAAACAACCATTGAGAAATTCTTCATAATGAATTATATTTCACTAGAATATAATTCTTCTTCGATGCCACTTCAAAATCAATCGTTTCTTAATCGCTAGAATTTGAATTGTAGATCAATTTTATTCGCTGTAATATGACCGGCAGACACTTAGTTTTCTTTTACTTTTAAAAAATATTTGTAAATACGTAGTGTGTATATTTTCTTTTGCCTTTTTGTATCTTTTTGTATCGTGTGTTTATCGCTTTTGTAATATACTTTTTTTTTCTTTTTTGTATAAATAAACATTAGAATATATTCAGACACGAATGTAATTTGTCAGCGTGCATGCTCATTACCTTACAGTAGCAGACTGAGTTCGCGAAGTTCGGTCGCTCTTCTGCAGAATATACCGAGCACAGTGAGGACAGCGAAGGCAGAACGTCGATTGAAGGAGAGAATGATACAAGAGGTATTACAACTAATACCATTGTATTAATGCATGTACTATTATTATTATTATTATTATTATTTCTCAAGTCAAGTTTTAACGTTTGATTTATTTTCTAGAAAATGGGATATATGTTAAAAGGCAATATATAAAGTATACGTTATTTTTCTTTGAATCTTTTTTAGGGCTTGATTTCGGATGAAGATGAAGAAAGTCATTTAACTCCTGCCGAACAACGAGCCTTACGAGCAGAAAAACGTGCTGCATGGAGGCAAGCTCGTTTAAAATCGCTTGAACAGGTATTATTATAATAATAATAATATGTTATACGTAACATCATTGTAATTACATTGAAAAGAAAAATTTGGATTTATAGGATGCTCTTCAGGCACAAATAGTTATTAAAAAAATGAGCGAAATGATGGATACTACGGATAAAGCTGAAATGTTGGAAGATAGGGCAGATCCTTATAATGTTTCCGATCAAGAAAAGATCACCGAAGTAAGCATTGGGAATGAGAGGATAGCTTGAACACACAAAATTGCAGTATCTAATATAACTGTCTCTTTCTTAAACAGTATTTAACACCTCTTTTTTAACTGTATCATTAGTTGTGTATTAACTTGGTTATTTTACTAATTATTGCTCATATGTGCTCTCATGCGTCTAACAAATTGAATTATGAGAACCCACAATGGTCATATTACTACAGTGGTATTATTATCTCGTTTGTCTTACTATCATAGTTCACTACGTTACGGCCGTCTAGCGCAGATTTTCCTAAACTTGCTGTACGCAGCAAAGTGGGTCCTCCTAAAGAAATACGTGAATCTGAGAAAGTAGTGGACGAGAAGGTCACTCGCCGTACTGAAGAATACGTGGATGAGGTGACAGGTGAACGTCGTGTACGAACGGTCGAATACGTCGAGAAGCTAATTGAGCGACAGGTACTATGATGATTCTAAATTTAGCACAGAATTCACATGCACCAGATTGTTTTCATATACATCATACTATTGGACAAAAATGAGATTTTGGCACAATATCTTTTTAGAGCACTACTTTCTTTTAATTACAAATATCAAAACGAAAGGTAGATGATAGATAGATAGATAAGTCATTTTGAACAAATTATTCACTGGAGATTCAATTGTCTGTAATAATGGTGTACCCTGCAGACAAATTATGAAAACGTTTGAATTTAATATTCAGATAATCTTCTTATTACACACATGCGCATGCCTCTTGAATGTGTTTTAAGCTTCTAAGCATTATAAAATATAAGGGGTAACAGTAGTTAATATTTCTATTTGCTGTTCCAAGAAACCAACTCTCACTCTGGATTTGCAACCTGCACCACCTTGAGCAAATGATTTCATTTCCACAGTTCACTAACAAACAAAATCTTCTTCTTATACTATTGGTAATGCTCGTTTTAGTTTTCTTACATATAACACATTACTAATTTAATTATTAACATATATGTTTCTTCTTTAGCTGCTTATTAAAATTATTATTATTATTTTAGTATTATATTTATATCATTTTCTTTTCTTTTTTTTTATAAAGATAAAAATGCAAAATTGTTTTACATGTTATAAATGTTTTATGTGTTATATTCGTTTGTGATTTTCTTCTTTTTTTTCTTTTTAGAGTATTGTCTATTTGTTTAATTTGTGTCTATTTTAGAATGTTGCTATTATTGTCCACTATATTTTGACTTTTTACAACAAATATATAGATATATATATATATATGTATAAATAGGTTGAAACTTTGAGAGAAAAAATTATATCGTTGGAATTAAGTAACGCTGAAGACGAAATAGAAAGCAAAACTGGCACCGGAGCAAGTGATGCTGAAAGTGAAAATGAAGAACTTGCAAGTCAGCGTTCTGTCCAAGATACGCTTGAAGAAAAAACTGATCCTCTTATTTCAACTAATGCAACTGAAGGTGCTTCATCCAAGCAAAACACGAATATTATTGTTACTACGACTAAGAAAAAGAAAAGAAAACAAGGTAGAAAAAAAAATCGGCATTGAGAGTCAAATAAAAGGCTTCAAATATTAACATTCATTTTTAAAAGTTTGCTTAAAAGAAAAGACAGAATTTCTTAATCTCATATAAGTTAGATCATTGCATACATATGATCCAATGATTCCTGACTTATCAGTGTGTATAATCATTGATATGATTAATTTATAACATGACTGTAATACGATTAAATTACTTCATTTCATTTAATTTTTATCATTCGTCTTATTTTTGCTATTATACATTTAACAATTCATGTATAAGTTCAGGAATCTCTAGTATAAATTATCATGCAATCTTTTTTTTTTTTTTATTATTACTATAATATACTATTATATATATATATATACTTTAATCTTATATAATTAAATGTCTTTGCAATTATATTTATTGGTACGTATTGTTTAAACGTATCACTGTTAATATAAAATGCCAAGAATTTACAAAAATAAGTTAATATAATTCATTAGGTGCATTGATCATACTTAAAACGTATTTTCATTGTTGATAAATTATATTCATGTAATCGCAAAAAAAAAAAAAGAAATAAGGAATTTTTGCTACTTTTTTATATGACTATTAATTGTAATTACATAATTTATATGTAAACAATTTATTAGCAATCTAGATTTAAAAAAATCTGGTGCATTTTTATAGGGGTACTTTGTATACAATATACATAAATCAATGAGAATATGTGCATATATATTGACAACATAAATTATTGATTTTTAGGTGATGATTATTTTCAGTTAGAATAAATACAAAAATTTATATATATCTATATATATATATATATTTCAAATGCATTGATATTTTTTTTTCTTTTTTTTTTTTGTTATCATTTTTTATATTTACAAATGTAGTACACATTCCATTTTTAATAAATATGTTAAAGATCAATGCTATATGATAAAAGATAAAAAACTGATTAATGCACTGTTATTAACTATAAAGGTCCTACTTTATTTTTGATACAAAATTCATATTCTAAATTGACACTGGTCCAAATAGTTTAAATGCAACTACACACATTTTCTTAAACTTATTTATTTGATAATATATGTGTAATTACAATAATTTCGTATTAGTGGGTATTTATTTACAGTCATTAGGTAGATAACAAACTTCAATTTTGCACATCTCATATGCCTGAATATGTTCAAGCTCATTATACGTAATCAATTTAAAATGGTAAAACAAAAATAAAAGATTATAAATCATATATCATATAATGTGATTTATATATATATATAAAGTATTCTATTTATTTAGATATAATACAAGTAGATTATATTTACAAATTATATGCGTTCATTTAAAATAATTTCACAAAATATATATATATATATATATTTGATATTCTCAATATCGAGTATTTTTATTCCAAACTTTAATTTGATTTTATATATATATATATAATAGGTATTATATTAGTAATGACTAATAAATACATAATAATAATAATAATAATAATTAATAATTTAAATCATGTAAATTATATTTATACAAATATGATATATTATAATGTTTCTTACTTTTGTTTTATAAATATATTTTCAAAACAGTATTTTTGATTAACATATATTAAGAATTGAGAAAAACAGGACAATATAAAATCTATCGAAATAAAATTTCATTAATTTAATTATTCTTCGAATTTGATATATTAATAATAAAGTTTATTATTAGATTGGAATAAAAATACGGAATGGTTAGTATTATTTACACCGTTACTTATTACTATAAATTGTATAATTAATGAAACAGTTGAAAAAAGATAAATTAAAATTATCTTAATAGCCGAAATATTATTATTTAATATTGTTTATATTGAGTTATTTTTAGGTCGGTGGAGAGAGATATCATCCCACATAATTTTGATGTTAATGCAAATATTAATATTATAAGCGATAATGTGCGTGCAAATAACATAAAAACAATGAATATATGAATTATATAATGAGTGAAAGTGCGATTAAGAATAAGGGACCAATGACAAATTCATTTATCATTGAACTGAGTGTAAATCTGAGTATTGTTCCTTCATTATTACCTTATAAAAATAGTGAACAATTTTTACTGTATTATTGTTTAAGTGCCAATTCTTAACAAATTTATCTAGAATAATTTAGAAAAAAAGAGCCTATAATAGAACTATACGTATTATCTATCAATAATACATATTAAGGAATTTATAATAGTATTAACAGTGCATCTGTGGAATCTCAAAAATAAAAATAATGATCATTTCTTCAAGTACTTACATTATGAAATAAGCGGTATTTTTATTGAAGTTGATTTTTCAAATGTATAATGTAAAAACGATCTGAGAAAAAATTAATGATATATACATTTCTTTGGAATCATTTAACAGTATAACATATATATTTTAAGAAGGAACAAGCAGACAATTTGTTAATAAGCTTTTTACAAAAATGCTACAATAATTATATAATTTTTGTAAACGTGATATCTCAAAATAATACTTTTGTTAAACTTTATATTTTGTTTTAACAAATTGATATACAATTAAACACAACAACAATTTATTTAAATGCTTAAAATAAGATAAGAAGAAATTAGTAAAAATTTCATTAATACGTAAACTATATCAAAGTATATTTATTTATAAAAAAAAAAAAAAAGAAATAAATTAACTGTATTCTCTAATAAAAAAAATCGATTATACATTTTATAATATTATATAAACGAATTTGTAAAGGCAGTATCATTGATGAACAAAAACACATATTACAAAAAAATGATTTGTATTAATCATAATATAAACAGTTATATATTAATTTTAAATATATTTATCTTGAAAAATGTCATATCCCATGATAATCTTACAAAGACAACAACACCAGATCCATATATATAATACCTCAGATATATTTAAAATTTTATATAATAGTTGGTCACACACAAAGTTTATAACAATACATTGAATCCAAGGTGTACTCTCAATCAAATATTTGATCATTCCATAAATAATTGTAGGTACGGTTATTATTATTTATTTTCTTGGTGCTATAATACCCTCCAGTTGAGTCTACAAATTTATCATTAAATCCGATATAATAAATATATAAAATGAATGATAATGTATTTCTACCTTCAATTGTAAATTCGTTTTTTTAAGAAATTGAATTTCTTCCGTATATTTCTTTTCTTCTGCTTCTCTTAATTCAGCATTTCTTCTTTCAGTTAATTCAAATTTGTGTCTCAATTCTGTCAATGCATTTTCTAATTCTATTTTTTGCTGTCTTAATTCATCCGCTATTGCAACTAAATCTTCTTTGCCTTGTTCAGCCTAAAATATAATAAACAAACATATAATAAAAACAATATAATATTTAAAGCAAATGTATGTATACCTGAAGTGCTTTACGCATTCCAAATGCAATACTACTCTGATATAAAGTTTGATAAGCAGCCAATGTCATTTTGATTTCGTCTCTTACTCTCAATAATAACAAACCACGTTCGGCACAATTTATTGTAACTTGTCGTATCAATTCGTCTGAAATAGTTCTCTTTTTTTAAACTTCAGATTATTTTTCTTCTATATATAAATAGAAAGAACAAAAACTTACCAAAACATTGCGTATAAAGTTCTCTGCGTACAGGACAAATTCCAGTTTCTCTTGCTTGTCGCTGTTGCAATTTCATATCGAGTTGTTCTTGTAGATTAATAACGTCCAATCTTGTAGCAGGAGTACTTGAAACCTTAATGCAACCATAAATTTATTAATATAATAATAAGAGGTAGTATCATAATAATAATTAAATTTACTTGCTGCGTCCATATTTGTCCATCTTCTTCCCATTCTTTAGGTGGTAAAATTCCATTTAAAATTTCACCGGTCTCACGACGTACATCAGCCGTAGTAAGAGTTGTTTGAACTTTACAAAGAGTAGGAGTACCTACTTTACCTAGCATTGATTCTTTTTGTACCTGATTACAATTTTATTTAGATAAATAAGATTAATATTAAATATTTCAAATATATACAAAACATTATAATTATTACTTTTTCTGGATGAGTTGTAACCAATATAGGATTGTCATATTTAACAAGAGTATCTACAGCAGGAACAATACGTTCTTTAACTGATGTTGCCATTCCAATAATAATATAATTAAATCTTTACTTTTACAAGTGTAATTATAAAAATGTTTAACTCTTCCTTTTCGATGTGGTATCAAATGCATATACCATAGGAAAATGATCTCCATAGAAACATTGATGTAACAGCAAATATATTCACATTTTTTAAATTGACATTAATATTTATTATTCTCATAATTAAAGGTATAATAATAAAAAATATAATTATTATACGCCAAAATGTATATAATAATTCGAACAGTTTATTACATTAATTCATAATTTTACAATTACTACTATATGTGTTAATGGACACAGTGATTATTACAAAAGTATTAAAAAATTGTACAATATATTAGATATGTATTTCTCTATTAATTAATTATATATACCTATGTTTATTGATATTTATTGAAATAATTATAAAAAGAAAATATTACAGAAATTATTGAAAGATTTCATAACAAAAATTATAACTCTGTATGTCTTTGCATAATTTTAGTCTCAAGATCCGTATGAAGCTTTTGAACTGCTCTAGCATGTTTTTTTATATGTTGTTGCGAAGTTGAATTATCCAAATCGTAAGACTTTCCTCTGCGTGCAGCTTCCAAAGCTGCTTCCGTATGAAGATGTCTTAATTTGAGTAACCGTGACTCATAAATAAAAAGTTCTTCCTAAAGAATCAGAAATTTGTTAAATTTGCCAGTATTTATCATTTTACACAAATATATTAAACAAAACATTTTTGGTTCTAATTAACCTTAAGAGTAGCAAGTTCATCGGGTTTAAATCTAGCTTCCAATGCAACTCTCCAAAGTCCTTGTACTTTTGGTTCAATAAATTCCTTATGATTAGGCCCTTTAGCTGTTAGCCTATCCAAACGATCATACTCATTTCTAAGCTCTAAGCGTTTTTCTCTAAAATAAATATAAAGAAAATTAATTATCAATTGATAAGATATTAAATAATCTTGTTTACAAAATTCTCACCTAAGTAAATTCGCTTTTCCTAAATAATCCAACTTTTTTCCAGGTACATTATTATTTGATAATTGTTCTTCCTCTTCCAACACATTCCAACTGTCTGGCTTGTCGAATAAACTATCTGTAAGATATTAATATAAAATATATAGTAAACATTAACGTTAAAATAAAAAAAAATAAAAACATAGATAGAACAAGAATATATTATACAAAAATACAAACTTTCGTGCATTTCAGAATCACCAGCTTCTATATCTTTTAACAAGCTCATATATTCATCTACTTTTTCTTGATGATATTCAAATTCTTCCTTTAATGCGTCAAGTTCTACATCTGAAATAAATAATAATAATATAATTAAAAATGCAATTATTATTTAAAAGGAACAATTGTAAAATATACATACGAGTAAAGCCTGCTAATTCAGCTTTAGCCCAAAGTTTATTCAATCTAGAATCTTTAAACACATCCTTGGCGACATAATTGCTACCATCATTAAAGGCTTTATATCTTTTAAGTAACATTGGATCTTCTGTTTCAAAAAAGTATTCTAACAAGCCATACGTACTCATGATACCTTAAACACACAAAATATTATAAATTATAATAGTAAGAAATATTACAAATAATAGTACAAATATTTGATACACAAAATTACCAATTAATTTTTTTCTCAACCTAATTTCTTCCGAACCATCTGGATCCATTCCATCAGCCTTATAATGTTTATACGCTAATTCTTCTTTATCATGCATTTTTAAATCGCTAAACAATGATTGCAATTTAGTATCTGTTAAACGCTACAAACACAAGTAATAACAAATTATTTAAAATAAAACAAATCTTTTATCTTGTTTGATAATAACGTAATGGTTTTTTTTTATACTAACATTTTTTGCTTTCACCCATAATACATTTAATTTTGACATTCGAAATGGTCTATCTAATTCTCTTAATGTCGTTGGAAAATCTAATAAATCTTCTTTAGGTTTGTTCGCTTTGGCAGAATATTTGTTAAGTGCTACACTTGTATGTATTAATATAAAACAAAAACTTAATAAGAAAAGCTTTCTTTCTATAGACACAATCATCTTGTAGAAAAATAATGTTTCTTTTTAATAATACAACAATTAGATTATTATTTACTATTATTAGAGAGCTGCGTAAAACGTAATTTATATATAAAATGTTATTTTATTAATTAAATCAATTGAAGAATATTAAAAAGACATTTGACACACTGAATTTTCAATTTAACAAATTTATCGTTATTTGATTTTTTTTTCTATTTATACAATAATACTGTAAACACTTCTGTTTATAAGATTTTAACATTCACTTCACTGTAATGTCATTTTATATCCTTCTGTATCATCCTGTATCATCCTCATACGTGGTATTATTGTAAGCATATATATATATAGGATAAATGTACTATCTGTTTTAAATCAAAAGTCCTCTTTTTGGTGGGGGTGTCATCCACTAATCTTATTGGTCAAAATGGTAGCTCATTGAAAAAAGGTCTTGAAGATAATGGTGGACAATGAATGGGATTACACCTGGATTATAATAACTGAACAATGTTCATTTCAGGTGAGTTCATTTTAATTAAAGCAGTCTTTTACTCCATTTGCAATCAAATGGTCCACGGAAAAAAACAATTTTTACGCCATCTAGAAATGTCAAGAATAAACTAACACAACCCTTCAAAACAAAAATTACGGTACACTTAAATTGCACAATAAAATTATTTGAATAATTATGTAATTATTCAAATTAAAATATAATTACAATTTAAATTATAAACATTTTAAATTGATATACATTTTATTACTTCATGCTAGCAAATTTGATTTTTGTTTTGAGTTTTATCTCCCATTAATAAAATATTTATTATGCAATAGAAGAATATTATAAAAAAATAAATTAATATTTTTATTTAATTTTATTAAAAAAATGTTTATTATTAACAAAATTAAAATAACTTTTCTTATACTTAGGGTATTATCCATGTTGGAATCACCATTGGGGTAGCACAAAAGCTGTTTAATGCCATTGCATTATATCAAAGTAAAAAATTATGCATAAAACATTATTTACGTTGATTTCATTGAATCAGTGAACTTATCATACTACAACAACAAAATTGATTGAATTAATAATTACAAATATTTGTATAATTTATATAAATAAAATGATATATATATAAACTTACCCATATAAATAAAAGAAAAATGATAGAAGATAAAAGGCCAACTTAACCCATCCTTCTCGTTGAAACATTGCTAAATCATATGCATTTAAAATACTAGTTGGATCGTACAAACCAGGTCCTGTCATAACAGGTCTATTTGAATATCTCCAAACATGATATGCTATTAATGGAATATTTAAACATAATGTAAACCATTGTTCACTTATCAAAAAGAAAAAATTGATCAAAACGTGTAGTGCATATTCTGGAAGTACAAGCTGAAATATAAATAAATAAGATTTAATACATTTAATATAACAATCAATTTTCATAATATAAGGTAATAATAAAGTATACAGTTTACCGGATTTAAACTATTGCATTGATCAATTGGATTTTTCTGTCCAGATTGTAGTTCATCAAATGCAATAACCTAAAAAAAAATAAGTACATCGTAAAATTCAATAAAAGCAATTTTATTTGAGAAAAAAAAAAGAAAAGGTTATCATAATAATTCTCATAGGTTATGATTAAGTAACATTAGTTAAAGTGACTAGGTTTATGCAGAAATATTTCTGTCATGATATATGTTATACGTAAAATTGAATAACGTACATGAAATATTACAAAAAATATTAAAATTGCATCTACAATTAAAGCTAAAATGTATGAAAAAGCAGCCAAACTAAACGCCATTCTGTTAAATTCGATATCTCTCGTTTATTCGTCACGTCCATATAAGAGAGCACAAGCTTACTATACAATGAATTCATAAATCGATTAATTGCGCGGGAAAATTCAGTGTAGCCACTAGAAATGATATTAAAATTGTATTTACCATTATTAAACATTAATATATGATCGTTTGTATATTTAATGTTTAAAACATTAATATAAAATATTAACAATTATATTCCAAATATTCCATATTTCATCAACGTATTAGGTATGTATTTTAGTTTTCTGATTATCAACACACAATATAACAATTTAAAAAGATTAATAGATTTATTAAATTAAAATTGATCATTGAGTTTAAATTTTAAAAATTAGCTACTAACATAAAAGATTAATCATAGAATATTAATAATGAATATGTTTAATAATGACAATTTAATATGCGATTAATGTATGTTACTACATTATTACATTATTGCAAGAATATAATAAATATTTGCATTAGACTAGATCTTAGTTTGTACTGCGTTATATATAATGATATTTTTTAATTACAACTGGCGACTTATACGACTTTATACATACTTTTATCTATAATTTAAAATCTAAAATTTTTCCTTTCTTATTTTTATTATAGTTATATAATTATTTACATTAAATTATTACATTATATAGTTCTGTTTATATCTGATGATCCATAAAAATGATCTGCATTAATATTTCTGGATATTAATCGTTCTGTATCTCTTATGTTCCAATATGTTGAACTGGAAACTAATTCTTTTTTCGGCCTTAAAATGTGCCTAATGTTATTGTAACTAATATCCATCATTTTAAACGCGTTAAGTAAAAATATTGCTACTACAATCGTAAAAAAACCACAGAACGATCCTACAATGTCCTCAGTTTTGATATTTTGCCATTCTCTGAATAGTATCGCCGATGCTACTATAACCAATGTTGTAAAACATACATAATAGATTGGCATAACAATAGTTGTATCAAATAAATCCAATGATTTATTTAAATAATTCATTTGCAATGTAATGCAACATATGATACCGAATAAAAATAGCCATGTCAAGAAATTAGAAAATGCGCCAGAAAATGACATTGTTTCTTTCAAGGCTAATCCTATACCTTTACAACTCATTACAGTCAATGAACCTATCGATGAACATAAAAGTATATAAACAATTACATTTTGATTTCCGTAAGCAGGACCAAAATAAAATATTACAAATAAACTACATAATATTACAATGAAAACGTAACTAATAAAACCTGGCGCTTTAATTTTATCTAAAAGTTCATCCAAACTATTAACTTCTTCTTCTTTCGGTGAATGAAGTATTATTACCGTTGATCCAAGAATGCATAAGAAACATCCGATCTATAAAAAATGTTATATGTTAACATATAATTCATTACTTTCCTCTATTCAATTCCTTCTTACCTTTCCTAGTAAATTAAGTTTTTCATGAAGACATTTTGACGCTAAAATTGCAGACACCAAAACACTTAGAGCACCTAACGGCGTAACCAAGGAGGCAGGTGCAAATGCATACGCTGTAAAATTGGCAGCTTCTCCTATGCCCACTGTTATAGGTAAAGTATATTTAACAAATCAAATACTTAGAAATAAAATATTTCTCTTATTTTAGATTACATTAAAAGGATAATTACTTGAAATCAAACCGGCCCACCATATCCACTCTTTAAGGTATCCGTAACCACCAGAAGAAGCGCGTAATCCACCATATCTCTGAAGTCGAATTAAAGCAATTTTTTTAATGATAAAACTTGCACCTATAAAAAATATTAATATTTTTTTTCTTCTCCAATTTTCATTGAACTGTGTATGTATTAAATAAATAAATATTTAACCTATAAAACCGCTAGAAATAACAGCTAATCCTAAACCGATGTAAAAATCCGTATTAATATCAGATTTGTTAACCACAACTTCGGTAGACGTATACATACTCGATACACTCACTACTTGTCAATTCAAATATGTTATTCATCAATGTAAATATGTTATTTTTCTTTAAATGTCTTCCCCTGTAATTTTCTACTATATTTCAATTGTCACGGGGGTCTAATGATACCCCATACAGGAGTGAAGTATATACGTTACTGAGGATTAGATAGTGCGCATGCGTGGGAAAAGTCCCACGTTTGGCATCACTGGTATTAGACGTATCCATGTGCAAGATTTATTTAAGGTTATGTATCAGAAACATGTGTTTTCGTAAAAGAATCTTAATACAAGTTTGTTAATAGTTTAATCATTTTATAATTAATTTTATACTGTTATAAATATTTGACTTATTATAGTTCATTAATATTAAAATACGTTTAACAATGTCGGTAATAACACGAGTTGTGTAAGTACATTCTTTATTTGTTATAATTATAATCGTATATTGTTTAAATAATATTTTCAAATAAAATTTTATTTTTTTAGTAAACCTTCCACCCATAAGGGAAAAAAAGCAATTGTAAAAAAAGAACCGAAATTAATTGAAGATGCTAAACAAGCTTTTTGTATTCGAGGTAGAAATACTTCTCAAATAGTTTATAATTGCATGAAAGATTTGGTAAGTTTTTAACACAATGTTATATTTGTATATATATAAATAATATGTTATAAAATTAATATAAAAATATTTGTCATCTAGTATGATCTCAAAAAACCTGACGTACAAATGATGCAGAAAACAAATGACATACTTCCATTCGAAGATGCAACAGCTATTGAGAAATTTTCGATAAAGTTGAACGCACCACTTTTTATATTTGGTTCGCATAATAAAAAACGTCCGCATAATCTTGTATTTGGTAGAATGTACGAGCAAACGTTATTAGACATGGTGGAATTTGGTATAGAAAATTATAAAAGTTTAAAGGAATATAAAGTTCCGAAAATTTCCGTAGGAATGAAACCTATATTAATTTTTAACGGTGAACTTTTTGAAAATAATCAACAATACATTAGAATAAAAAATCTATTTGTTGATATGTTTCAACGTGAAATAGTTCAAAAAATCAGATTACAAGGATTAGAACATGTATTGAGTTTTACCGCTGACGACAACAAGATATACTTAAGAAGTTACAGGTTTAAACAAACATTCAAATTTATTGATTAACATCCTCATTTTGATTACAATTTTCGGTTTTTAATTTATCGTTCATTGTTTTAGGATACTTTTAAAAAAATCAAATACTAGAATTCCACGTATTGAATTGGAAGAAATTGGTCCATCTATTGATTTATCATGTAGACGTACTAAATTGGCGTCCGCTGATCATTTTAAACAGGCTTGTAAGAAACCGAAAACCCTTAAGGTAATATAATAATTTGACTCTACTTTTTTCTTCTTTCTTTCTGATTATAATAGAAATTTCTATTTATTTGTATAGGTAAAGAAAAAGAAGAATATTTCTACTAATGCTCTTGGAACTACTTTCGGTCGTATTCACGTCGGTGCACAGAATATTAATAAAATACAAACAAGAAAATTGAAAGGTCTTAAGAAAACATTAGCAGAAAAGAAAGAAAGTAATAAAAGGAAAAGTTTAGACGATAATGAGAATAATAGTAAAAAGGTAAAAATGACAGAAAATGAGATAGCTTCATAATAAATATTTATTTGACCATTATTTTGAAATAAACTTTCATAAAATTGGGTTTATTTTAAGTAACTTTGTGATAATCCCACGTAGACAAACCCTTACGATCCTATAAATACAAACAATTTATTACATGTTCTTTTTTTTCTTTTTAAATAAATGACTATACATTTATAATACCTTGACGGTAATTCCACAAGTGGATAAATTTTTTCTTGCTGTGTCACACGCATTCAATAAAATTTCGTCTTTTTGTTTCTGCTCCAATACTCTATTTCTAACGACATTTCTAAAGTCAACAAAATATTTAACGATATCATCGGTTTGACGATTTTCTATTGTAAATTTAGATCGTGTAAATCCAAAAATGGAAAGTATATTTGAAATGTATACGGAAACTGCAGCTATTGCAGTTTTACCTTTGTTATTATGAGTACTCTATAATGAAAAGAAAATGTTAAATATACAATATAACTTGTATATATCCTTAGAAGGTAAAATATCTTTCATATGCACTTACATTATTTTGAAACAACATTTTATTGCTTGTATCGATTAGATTTAAAACAGCTCGTATTGCTTGTGCAGTATTGAAATCATTTGCTAAAGCCATATGTACTATACTTTTGGTTTCTTGTAAGTTCTATAAAAAAATCAATTTATATATTTTTTCATTTTTAACTTAAAATATCCTTTTCTTCTTCATTTATACTTACATGAATCAAAGAAGCTTCATCTACATCACCGGTATTTATTTGATCAGTCAAATAATTATTACATTCGTTAATAAAATTTTCAATTTTATTCGTCACACTTACTGCATGATCGATCACGTCATCGGAATATATAATATCTACAAAAAAAAAAAAAATAAGAAAATAAATACAACAAGCATAAGACGACAATGAGATTAAAATAATGTAACAAATGCATACCATTCCTATAATGAGAAAGTAAACACAACATTCTTAAATCATTAGCCGTATATTTTTCGAGAAATTTCTTTATGCTAATAGTATTTTGTAAACTTTTGGACATTTTAATATTATCTTTTAAACATAAATGTCCACAATGTAACCAATAGTTTACCCATTGTTCTATATCATGATAGCAACAGGATTGTGCTTCTTCATTTTCATGATGTGGAAACATCAAATCAATTCCACCACTGTGGATATCTATTGTTTTTCCAAATACTGCACTAGTAATAATTAATCAAATGTTACATAATTTAATAATAATATCATAGAAACAAATGTTGCTAGAAACAAATGTTACCTTGCCATAGCACTACATTCTATATGCCATCCTGGTCTTCCACGACCCCACGGGGATTCCCAATATGGTTCATTATCTTTTGATGCTTTCCATAAAGCAAAATCTAACGATGATCTTTTATCCGAGTGATTACAATCAGTAAATGGAAGTATTAATTTCCCATATTTGTCATATGATTTGGTATCAAAATATACGGATCCTATATGATATGTAATATTATGTAATAAAAGTAATATGTGTGAATATGAAAGAATATATAAAAAGAAAAAGAGCTATACCATCTTTTCCAATATAAGCTCCATTTTTGTCGAAGATATTAATAATAAATTGTATTATTTGAGGTATATATTCGGTAACTTTACAATTTAAATGAGGCATTGTAACATTTAATAATTCCATATCGTTGAAAAATTCATTTTCATAAAATTTGGATAATTCACGAAAATCTATTCCTTTTTCTGCTGCTCGTTTTATTATTTTATCATCAATATCAGTTATACCCATTAACATTATTGTATGAACCTTAAAATATTCTGATAAAATTCGTCGTAAAAAGTCAGATCTGATGTAAGTACTTAAAAAAGAAACAATATTATGTTAATACATAAAGTAACATAATTTTAATATTATACATGTATAATTATATAGAAAATTATATTACATCGCATGTCCAATATGAGCAGAATCATAAACTGTTGGACCACACATATACCACGTTAAAAAACCTTCTTTTCTTAATATCAAAGGAACTTTAGTTTTTGTTATTGGATTGTACAATTTAATACCGGTATCTGTTCCCATAGGTTCTATCCATTTAAACTTCTTTTCCTGTTTAGCTGAAGTTGTCACAAAACATTGACACTGTTTTACAAGATTATAATATATTCTTCTTGATGTTAGATGCATTATTAATAATTATATTGTAGGAAAAAAAAGATAATAATTAAAACAAAACGATAATAATAGATTTTTGAATGATGTTTGTTTTTAAATATATATAGAATATAATTGCACATTCATTTTCGGTAAATTACTTGTTGTTAGAAGTTGTTCGGACAAAGATTACAGTTTATTTAAATCATAGTAACATGATCTCCTACATTACCGACTATTATCAATATCGTTTCGTATTAAATTTTAATCGTTTAAACAAAATATATTGGGCAATCTGAATTTAATTACCGACTGGGAAAATATGTGACGCCATCTAGCGGTACTGGCCATTACTTCCTTTTACCGACCGGTAAAATATATGCCACCATCTAGCAGTAATAGCTATTGCTTTTTTTTACCGACCGCTAAAATATGTGTCGGCATCTAATCGGACAAGGACGTAATAATTTATTAGTAAAAATATATTTTGGGCAAGGAAGAAGAAGGGCTAGGGGCGAAAGAAAGGAAATATATCAACGTCATCTTCCTAGACATTATATATTTATTACAACCCTTTTTTTTCTCAAGTGAAAACTTCTTTAGGATGGGGATGAATTAAAAAAGGTAAAAACACAAACTTTATTATAAATATAAATATAAATATAAATTATATATATAATTAATATTTTAACTACAATAATTTACTTTACAGGTATCGGTGACTTCTCAGACCCACACATCGCTGCTATTGCATCAAGTTTAAAGGCACATTGATCTTCTTATCTATGTTCTTCTCAAGTGTGCCAAATTTTCAACAAATCAGAGGACGGACGATCGCACCATCTCCTCCAACTCCTCCAACTCCTCCATCTCCTTGCTAGAAACATTTCCTGGTACTAAAAAGACAATCATAATATATCCAATGGATTTTTAACACACATCAGCAGCTTAAAAACAACATACTACATTCTGTAGTTAAATTTTTATATAAATTACAATTTATCTATGTTAAAAATGTAATGTACATTAAAAAAGTGTAAAAAATACTCTCTGTACGAGATTAAAATGAATAAAATATCATGAAATGAATTAAAATATTTTGTTAAAATTATTTCTATCTTATAAAAGCAATTCCTGAACCGTGCCACCTCCTAATACATCATGTTCTCCTGTTACAAAAGAAATTTTTCGACAAAGTTTTGAAAATTTCGGTCTCTCGGAAATTCTTGGAAATAAGGTTTCTTAGAATTTTGGAAATTCTTGGAAATGAGGTCAAGGAAGTCGAAAAATTCTCGGAAATTGACTACAATTCCAAGAATCGCCGAAATTTCGTGCCACTTCCTCGCATATCATGTTCTCCTGTTACAAAAGAAATTTTTCGACAAAATTTCGAAAATTTTCTCGAAAATCTGAATTTGTAACAGGATCCCATGATGTGCAGGGAGGTAGCACGTTTTCGGCGATTCTTGGAATTGAGGTTTCTTGGAATTTCGGAAATTCTTGGAAATGAGGTCAATTTCCGAGAATTTTCGACCTCATCGACCTCATTTCCAAGAATTTCCGAGAGACCTTACTTCGAAGAAATTTTCGAAACTTTGTCGAAAAATTTCTTTTGTAGCAGGAAAATATGATGTACCAGGAGGTGGCACGGTTCAGCAGTTGCTTTTACAGGGTAGGAATAATTTTAATAAAGTATTTTATTTAATTTAATGATATTTTATTCATTTTAATCTCGTACAGAGAGTATTTTTTACAGTTATTACGTAAAAATTTATTAAGGGGACGTTCCACCTGAAGCATCCAAAAAAAAGGCTATTTTCGCGAATTTTTTCCAAGAAAATTTTAAAAGATACAGATATAAAAGTTGTTGGGTTTGTTAAATGGAGTCTTAAACTACATAAATAAATTTTTGTTTTTTCATTTTAATTAATTTTTTATTGCAAAAACAGTAGTTTAAAAAAACACCTCAAAACTGTAGTGCTTTGGTAGCTCCATCAGAACTTGAGAACGGCTTACCTGAAATAAAAAAATCAAATGGTTTTATATTCTGTATGACTTCAGCTACAAAGTGACGCAAATATATGAAATTTTATCAATAAATAAAAAAATGGTTGACAAATTACAAAAAACGTGATAAATGACCTTTTTTTTGTTGTTTTTGACTAAAAATTAATAGTAAAAATTAAAATTAAGAAAAGATTTTGCGTCACTTTGTTACAACTCATGTGTAGAATATGTGGATTAAATTTTATAAGAATCGGTTTACTGGTTCGTGAGATACGATGGAGCTAGTATTTCAAAACATAGTTT